TAGGCGCAGGTCTAGGCACATTTGTGTGCGGCCGCTCGGCGTCTAGGCGCAGGTCTTGGCACATTTGTGTTTGGCCGCTCGGCCTCTAGGCGCAGGTCTAGGCACATTTGTGTGCGGCCGCTCGGCGTCTAGGCGCAGGTCTTGGCACATTTGTGTGCGGCTCCGCTGCTCGGCGTCTAGGCGCAGGTCTTGGCACATTTGTGTGCGGGCCGGCGTGAAGAGGTTAAACCCAAAAAAATTTGATCTATGGCAGCTTACCAGTCATCACATGTGGTGGCTGCATTGGTTTTCCTTTTTTTTTTTTTTCCACCTTTTTTTCTTTTTAACCCGGGTTCACACAATTCAGTGCAGGACACCGCAAGGAATCACACCGCGTTCCTGTGCGAATTACATGCAAATGTCTGCATGATGCGGTTTGTATGGCTCAAATCGCATCGCATGCGCACCAAAAAAAAGCGCAGGACCCTTTTTTAAAATGAATCCCATGTGATGAGATTTCTGCGTTTTGTGATCTGTTTTGTGGTGTCATTATTTATCGTTGACACCCATGAATGCGATGCGATGGCAATGCGGTGTGGGAAACTCACAGGACTTGCAACATTTCCCGCACCACATTGGTGTGAACCTGGGCTTAGACTTTTTCCCTCCCCCTCTGTTTTCACCTGGTGATCTGGCCAGTAACACACCTCCTGTATTAGAGTGCCCCCACTCTGGAGGAAGGAGCACTGGAGACACAGCAGCATTGTCAGTCTGGGGGGGAAGGGAGTGTTAGATGGACTAGCAGATTTAGACACACTAACACATTGAAGCCAAACTCCAGATCACACTTTATAATCAGTTACAGCAAACGTTTGGCGGTTAGGAAGCCGGATGCCTGTGTGAGAAGCATCGGGTAGACCATCATCACGCAAAATAGGTATTAAACCCAAAAAATGTCATCTATGGCAGCTTACCAGTCAGCAGATGTGGTGGCTGCGTTGGTTTTCTTTTTTTTTAGTCCGGGTTCACACAATGCAGTGCAGGACACTGCATGTAATTCGCACAGGAATCGCAGGAATCCAAGATACAAAAAAGATACAAAGTGACCCCTCCAAGATACAAAAAGTTACATAGTGACCCCCCAAGATACAAAAAGTTACATAGTGACCCCCCAAGATACAAACAGATACATATTGACCCCTCCAAGATACAAAAAGTTACATAGTGAACCCTCCAAGATACAAACAGATACATAGTGACCCCTCCAAGATACAGAAAGTTACATAGTGACCCCTCCAAGATACAAAAAGTTACATAGTGACCCCCCCAAGATACAAACAGATACATATTGACCCCTCCAAGATACAAACAGATACATAGTGAACACTCCAAGATACAAAAAGTTACATAGTGACACACTCAAAGATACAAACAGATACATAGTGAACCCCCAAGATACAAAAAGTTACATAGTGACCCCTCCAAGAGCCAAAAAGTTACATAGTGACCCCCCAAAGATACAAACAGATACATATTGACCCCTCCAAGATACAAAAAGTTACATAGTGACCCTCCAAGATACAAAAAGTTACACAGTGACCTCTCCAAGATACAAAAAGTTACACAGTGACCCCTCCAAGATACAAAAAGTTACATAGTGAACCCTCCAAGATACAAAAACGTTACATAGTGACCCCTCCAAGATACAAAAAGTTACATAGTGACCCCCCAAGATACAAAAAGTTACATAGTGACCCCCCAAGATACAAAAAGTTACATAGTGACCCCCCAAGATACAAACAGATACATATTGACCCCTCCAAGATACAAAAAGTTACATAGTGACCCCTCCAAGATACAAAAAGTTACAAAGTGACCCCTCTAAGATACAAAAAGTTACATAGTGAACCCTCCAAGATACAAAAAGTTACATAGTGACCCCTCCAAGATACAAAACGTTACACAGTGACCCCCCAAGATACAAAAAGTTACATAGTGACCCCCCAAGATACAAAAAGTTACATAGTGACCCCCCAAGATACAAAAAGTTACATAGTGACCCCCCAAGATACAAACAGATACATATTGACCCCTCCAAGATACAAAAAGTTACATAGTGACCCCTCCAAGATACAAAGAGTTACATAGCGAACCCTCCAAGATACAAACAGATACATATTGACCCCTTCAAGATACAAAAAGTTACATAGTGAACCCGTCAAGATACAAATAGTTACATAGTGACCCCCCCAAGATACAAACAGATACAAAGTGACCCCTTCAAGATACAAAAAGTTACATAGTGACCCCTCCAAGATACAAAATTACCCCTCCAAAATACATAGCTACCCCTTCAAGATACACAAAAATACATAGTGACCCTCCAAGTATGTTTATTTCCTATGATTATCAGCTCCATCTGGTGGCCCTAATGTGGTATATTCCTGAAATACCTCAATCAGGAAAATACCACAATATGCCCTCTAGAGGGAGCTGATGATCATAGGAAGGAAACATATTAGACACGTTGCTGGGATTATTCGTAATGGCTCTGTGAGTACTGAGACATTCGTACCGTGAAATGTAAATACAATTGACTCCTTAAACATGGAACATAGCCTCTTCTTTGTTTTATTTTTAAACATTCAGCAGCTGCAAATACTGCAGATGGTGAATTTTACAAATGAGGTCCTTATCAGTCCGTGTGTTCCAGGTCTGTCTTCCCGCAGATAATTCTTTTCCAGCTGCGGGTTCTTCATGCTGCCATCTTGGATTTTGGAGGTGTTGGGACTTCTTGATGAATCATCACACAGCATGTAGCACACAGCATACAGCACACACACAACATGCAGCACACACCACTCATCACACTGCACACAGCACTCATCACAGAGCACACAACACACAGCATACAACACACACACACTCATCACACAGCACTCATCACAGAGCACACAACACACAGCATACAACACACAGCACACACACCATGCAGCACACAGCACTCATCACAGAGCACACAACACACAGTATATAGCACAGGGCACACAACACACAGCACAAAGCAAACAACACAGAGCAAAGAGAACAAAAAACACAGCACAGAGCACACAACACAAAGCATGTAGCACACAACACTCATCACACAGCATGCAGCATGGAGTACACGACACACAGCATACAGCACACACACACACATGCAGCACACAGCATACACACAACATGCACACACAGCATACAGCACACAACATGCAGCACACAGCACTCATCACAGAGCACACAACACACAGCATACAGCACACAACACACAGCATCAGGGGCGGACTGACCATTGGGGAACTCGGGCACTGCCCGAGGGCCCGGGGTCAGTGGGGGGCCCCACAAGATGTCCCTGGTACCTTTCATAGGCTTTTTTGGGTGTGGTTTGAGTGTGGGAGAGGACACAGGGGCCCCATGATCCCCTATTGCCCGGGGGCCCCATGAGTTGTCAGTCCGCTCCTGCACAGCATACAGCACACACACCATGCAGCACACAGCACACTGCGTACAGCACACACACACAGCATGCGGCACACAGCACTCATCACATTGCATGCAGCACACAACACACAGCATGTAGCACAGAGCACACAACATACAGCACAAAGCAAAGCAACACAGAGCAAAGAGAACAAAAAACACAGCACAGAGCACACAACACACAGCATGTAGCACACAACACTCATCACACAGCATGCAGAATGGAGTACACAACACACAGCACTCATCACACTGCATGCAGCACACAACACGCAGCATGTAGCACAGAAAACACACACAGCACAGAGCACACAGCACAGAACACAGAGAACACAGCATGTAGCACAGAACACACAGCACAGAGCACACAGCATGTAGCACAGAACACAGAGAACACAGCATGTAGCACAGAGCACACAATACACAGCATGTAGCACAGAACACAGAGCACACAGCATGTAGCACAGAACACAGAGCACACAGCATGTAGCACAGAGCACACAATACACAGCATGTAGCACAGAAAACACAACACACAGCACAGAGCACACAGCATGTAGCACACAATTTTTAAAAAGTGTTGGGGACTTCCTTCCCTGCATTTGTCACTGGTGGGACAGCGCACTGAAATGAATGGGCTGCTCTACATGCAGCACACAGCAACCAGCATGCAGCACAGAAAAGCAGCACAGAGAACTCAGCACACAGCACATAGAAGGCAGCACACAGAAGGCAGCACACAGCACACATTGATGTGAACCCAGGCTACGTGTTCACACTCCAGGCAGTTACTGAAGTCATGCACTAAAGGGGACCTATAGAAGAGATATGGGGGCTGCTATTGATGATTTGTTTCCAGAGATTCCAGCTTATAATTGAGGAGGCGGGACTTATAGAAAATTAATTTCTGTCTTTCTGTGGAGGGGGGAGGGGATAGCAGGGAAATCAGGCTGACGCTGGAATTTTCCTTTAAAACTTTAATAGCGTTTCCAGAGAAAATACCATAATTTTCCTTTTCCGGCCTTTTCTACGGCGGATTGATTGAAGTGCGTTCTATCTTCCCCTCCCCCGTTCTCCCCGAGGTTGGCGGATAAATAAACCAGCCCGCGGCCTGTTTAGCTTCTCTATTCCGCGGTGCCGCCGTCCTCGTACGCGCCTCCGATACGTTTGTTTGAAATCCTCACAAGTGCTACAAACGGGAAGTCGGTGAGAATTTGGCTGCGTCCTGAACCCCGGCGCTCGGCGGCCGATCTCTGTGGTAGGTAAAAATAACTTCATATCCTCACAAATGGGGAAATATTTTTTTTTTTCCTTGTCTGCACTTTTGGCTAAAGTCTGGCTACAACTTTCCTGCCCGCATCGCACGTTATTATTGGCCGGTCCAGTTGTGCACATGGTGCAGGTGCAGAGGAACCCAAAGACTGACCTGTGTGACTGTCTAAAGAATGATGTCATCTGGAAATGGAGATACTATGATGTATCTGACCTCCGACCTCCCCTTCAGTCTTGTACAGGTGTACTGGCTCCTCCCCTTCAGTCTTGTACAGGTGTACTGGCTCCTCCCCTTCAGTCTTGCACAGTGTACCAGCTCCTCCCCTTCAGTCTTGCACAGGTGTACCGGCTCCTCCCCTTCAGTCTTGCACAGTGTACCAGCTCCTCCCCTTCAGTCTTGCACAGGTGTACCGGCTCCTCCCCTTCAGTCTTGCACAGGTGTACTGCTCCTCCCCTTCAGTCTTGCACAGGTGTACTGGCTCCTCCCCTTCAGTCTTGCACAGGTGTACCACTCCTCCCCTTCAGTCTTGCACAGGTTTACAGGCTCCTCCCCTTCAGTCTTGCTCAGGTGTACTAGCTCCTCCCCTTCAGTCTTGCACAGGTGCACCAGCTCCTCCCCTTCAGTCTTGCACAGGTTCACTGGTTCCTCCCCCCCTTCAGTTTTGCACAGGTGTACAGGCTCCTCCCCTTCAGTCTTGCTCAGGTGTACCAGCTCCTCCCCTTCAGTCTTGCACAGGTGTACCGGCTCCTCCCCTTCAGTCTTGCACAGGTGTACCGGCTCCTCCCCTTCAGTCTTGCACAGGTGTACCAGCTCCTCCCCTTCAGTCTTGCACAGGTGTAACGGCTCCTCCCCTTCAGTCTTTCACAGGTGTACCGGCTCCTCCCTTTCAGTCTTGCACAGGTGTACCGGCTCCTCCCCTGCAGTCTTTCACAGGTGTAACGGCTCCTCCCCTTCAGTCTTGCACAGGTGTAACAGGCTCCTCCCCTTCAGTCTTGCACAGGTGTAGAGGCTCCTCCCCTTCAGTCTTGCACAGGTGTAACGGCTCCTCCCCTTCAGTCTGGCCCTTCAAGTTGCAAAGGTCTTCGCGCTGCTCAACAGGTGGCCTCAACAAAAGGCTCAAATGTTCCTGCTAAAATCAGTAAAGTGCCGGTCATTACTGTCGTCCTCCTTGCTGTTGTCCGGGGCAACTGGAGCGGTTCATCAGTGTTCTCAAGTCTCTTTGCTTGTCAACAGGTGGCTCCAATAAGAGACTATGTTAGCTTTTTGATTGCAAATGCCAGTAAGCTGTTTAGCATTTCCCTCCATGCCATTGTCCGGGGCAACTGGAGCGCTCCACCAGTGTTCTCAAGTCTTTGTGCTGCTCAACAGACGGTTATGATAAAAGACTATGTTCTACCAAGCTTAATATTGCCTGCTGCAGTCAGTGAATACCAGGTGCTGGTCGTTTCCTAGAGCAACCAGAATGGCCTGCAATTCAGTGGATCTCAAATGTTCAATTGCGTTACATTTGTTGGGCCCAGAGACTTTAAGCGTGCTAACATGTTCAGCGGGGGTTGTGCTTTGTGCCCCACTGCTGCCCATAGTTGAGGATCATTACTACAGTTCCTGCAAGTACAGTCAGTTTGCTCCATTCCAGAACACCGGGCTTACTGCTAGTGCCAGAGAGTCATGAGAAGGGGAGCGGCGATGCGCAAAAGCACGCCCAAGTTCATGTCCATACGCTTGCCCTAAAAAACTGCCCTCTACACCCACCACCTGGAGAGAGAGCGTGAGAGGAGCAAGATGGAGGGCCTATTATTCAAAAGTCTTCATTCCAGAGGTCACCCTGGTAGACATGGGCGTCCGTCTGAGACACTGTGCATGTTTTGGCCTAGGGGCTGGTCGGAGGGACGAAGAGACTTTGCCTAATATGCCCAGAATGCAGGAGACCAACCACCCTAATCGAGGTCTGGGTCAAGTGCCGGCACTGTGGATAGCCACTTAACCAGCTGGCCAGCGATCTGGCACCCCGTGTATACAGTGTGGACCTGATAATAGGGCTGTGTACTGGGAGACGGGAGGGCTAGAATTGGAAAGCCAGAGGAATTTTGATGCCTGAATCACAGAGCAGGGTCGAGTCCTGGGACCTTGACTCCCCTGCTCCTACCCTTGTAGCAGAGAAGGATTGCCCGCCACTATCCACCATATTCCCGCTGGAGGGCACAAATACTGCCCTGTGGAAACCAGCACATTCCCCGGAACAGCCGGCCTCACCCACCAGCCCTGACCGTTCTGCTTGGAAGGAGCCTAGCTGCGAGCACGCCCAACCCTCAGGTGAGCCAGTGGAGAGTGCCAGTGGTGGGGGAATAGACTTGGGAGTCACCCAGGCTGTTGGCAGAGTTTGGGCCTTTAGAAATTGAGCAAGAGGAATGGTCTTCAGAGTAAACAGAGGAAGAATGGGACTGGGAAGGAGCTGGACTCGCTGATGGGAGGATGTTCCGGCACGTCAGAGACTGTCAGTATACCTACCTGAGCCCCACCACCTAAATTCACCTCAATATGGGTGAGGGTAGGACCAAGGCCAAGTATATTGATCTGCAGAAGTAGGTCATCCGTTCTCCACAGACCTGTGTACAGCCAAGATTAGGGGACAAAAAGTTTCTTCCTCGCTTCTCCCGTCTTCAGAGGAAGATACAGAAGAGGGTAGCTTTTGAGTTTGGATCAGACTACCAATATGTCCCTCAGGAAGTCATGGACACAGTTGAAGCGACCAGGGCTCGAATGAAGGAGGACTTGATGTGGGACCACATGCATATCCCCAGACACTTGAGGGGGCCTCATTTGGAAGAAGCTTGGTCCCACTTTCAAGATATCAAGCAGGAATAGAGCAAACATCAGGCTATTTACTGGGACCGGGTGGTAGTTGTTTAAGGTTGGCCAGCCTAACCGAAGTTACTCCGGGGCCATCCGGAAACCTGATGGCAGTATGGCGAGACTGCGAAACCCATGGAAATACTACAAGGACTGACGCAGGATAGCAGTGTAGTAGGCCTGTGTATCCTTTACATTGTGGACTTTGCCGGACTCTATCCTAACACCCAGATGTGCTGGTCTGGGGTTATTCACAAGGAGACCGCTCAGTCACACTATTTTTTTTAGGAGGGGCTCCTCCTTAAATCAGTTAAGGACTCCAAGGAACAATTATTCAAAATACAATGCTGAAGTGCCGTGTTTACGTAGCCAGTGTTTAGGCTATGTACTGTGTTGTCTTCTCTCCTTCCTGTTTGCAGGTCATCCAAGACAGTCATCTTTCCTGCTGGGACCACAGAAGACCTTTAATAAGTTTCTGGAGGGTTCCCTTGAGGGACTATGTGGTTTATTCATTTGTATATACACTATATTGCCAAAAGTATTGGGCCGCCTACCTTTCCACGCACATGACCTTTAATGGCCCCCAGTCTTGGTCCGTAGGTTCAATATTGAGTTGGCCCCACCCTTTCCACACACATGACCTTTAATGGCCCCCAGTCTTGGTCCGTAGGGTTCAATATTGAGTTGGCCCCACCCTTTCCACACACATGACCTTTAATGGCCCCCCAGTCTTAGTCCGTAGGGTTCAATATTGAGTTGGCCCCGCCCTTTGCAGCTATAACAGCTTCAACTCTTCTGGGAAGGCCGTCCACACAAGGTTAGGAGGGTGTCTATGGGAAGGTTGGACCATTTTTCCAGAAGCACATTGGTCAGGTCAGGCACTGATGTCGGGGGAGGAGGCCTGGCTCGCAGTCTCCGCTCTAATTCATCCCAAAGGTGTTCTATGGGGTTGAGGTCAGGACTCTGTGCAGGACAGTCAAGTTCCTCCACCCCAAACTGGCTCCGCGCATGTCTTTATGGACCTTGCTTTGTGCACTGGTGTGCAGTCATGTTGGAACAGGAAGGGGCCATCCCCAAACTCTTCCCGCAAAGTTGGGAGCATGAAATTGTCCAAAATTGTCCAAAAAGAGTTCCCATCACTGGAACTAGGGGGCCAAGCCCAAACCCTTAAAAACAACCCCACACCATAATCCCCCCTCCACCAAACTTTACACTTGGCACAATGCAGTCAGGCAAGTACCGTTCTCCTGGCAACCACCAAACCCAGACACGTCCATCGGATGGCCAGACAGAGAAGCGTGATTGGGTCCCTCCAGGGAACACACCTCAACTGCTCTAGAGTCCAGTGGCAGCGTGCTTTACACCACGGCATCCAACGCTTTGCATTGCACTTGGTGATGTAAGGCTTGGATGCAGCTGCTCGGCCATGGAAACCCATTCCATGAAGCTCTCTACACACTGTTGTTGGGCTCATCTGAAGGCCACACCAAGTTTGGAGGTCTTTAGCTATTGACTCTGCAGACAGTTGGCGACTTCCGCGCACTGTGCGCTTCAGCATGCGCTGACCCCGCCCTGTCATGTGACGTGGCCTACCACTTGGTGGCTGAGATGGCTGTTGTTCCCAGTGGCTTCCACTTTTGTTATAATCCCACTAACAGTTGAGCGTGGAATATTTAGTAGCCAGGAAATGTCACGGATGGACTTATTGCCGAGGTGGCCACCTATCACGGGACCACGCTTGGAGTCACTGAGCTCCTGAGAGCGACCCATTCTTTCACCAGTGTTTGTAGAAGCAGTCTGCATGCCTAGGGATTGATTGTATACACCTGTGTCCATGGAGGGGATTGGAACACCTGAATCACATGATATGGAGGGGATTGGAACACTGGAATCACATGATATGGAGGGGGATTGGAAAACCTGAATAACATGATTGGGAGGGGATTGGAACACCTGAATCACATGATTGGGAGGGCGGGGCTAATAATTTTAGCAATATAGTGTATGTGTTACATGGAGAGCAATAGGTTACATTGGAAAGGTTCTATGAGCTTTCATTGATTGGAGGGATGTATATTTTGAGGCTTGAATATTTGGGGCTTGGTCCGGACACACGGTCTGTACAGATTAATGATGGCATCTCCATCCTCATGGTATGAGCCAACGGCTGGTGAACATAAAATAAATCCCCGATTTAACCCTTTCCTCCACCCATCTTATCTGAGCTGAGTTGTGTCCTCATTGGAGGATCTGATTGGAATTATTTTCGGCTTGGAAGAGCTTCAGATGCCACAAAATGACAATCAGCTCCCAATCGTTCGTCACTCTCCGGGGTCATTTGTCTGCCTGACATGCTAAGTACTGAGTAGGATGCCATATTCAATTGGGCATGTGAGAGTGAGGTGTATAATCTTCCAGATCGTGCTTTCACCTCGCTGCCAGCCACCGCAGCCCGGACCTCATCCATCTTTTTGAGTTTTGTTTTTGAAAGTCGTGCTTTGACTTATTTTCTTTGCCTTGGGGGAAGCGCATACCAGAATACAATACAGGGAGAGCATTGGACGCCCGGATTGATTACAGACTACTATATCATCCGAGAAGAGACAACCGCTCCGTGACCCTGTACCAGGTTCTTCACCCCCTGGATTCTGATTGGCTGCTCACGGTAAACTGAACTGCACTCATTGCTCTGTGATACCAATACTGGGCACTATTCCTCCCACTGACACCAATACTGGGCACTATTCCTCCCACTGACACCAAATGAAGGGGACACCAATTAACCCACAGACATCAAATATTTGGCACTATTTCTCCCATTAACCTCAAAGATGGCGCATTATTCCTCCCATTGACAGCAATGATGGGGCACTATTCCTGCCACTGACACCAATGATGAGGCACTATTCCTCCCACTGACACCAATGATGGACACTATTTCTCCTACAGACACCAATGATGGGGTACAATTCCTTCCACTGACACCAATGATGGGGCACTATTCCTCCCACTGACACCAATGATGGGGCACTATTCCTCCCACTGACACCAATGATAGGGCACTATTCCTCCCAC